TCCTTGGGGGATAATAAAGATGATTCATTAGAGTTAAATTTTCAGATATAAACAAACTTTTAGAAGTGATTTTACCTTTGAACCTTTTTGGTATGTAGAAATGTCTCATATCTTATGGGTGCACACATTTTCTCAAAGGTTATACATACACTTCCAAACCATAGAAAACAATTGAAAAATTAAGTATTACTGCTATTCTTGGCACTCTGATGGTTTTATGTGTTTAATTTTTACGTTATGTGCCAAGCTAGAAAGCTCCTCTACTTCTTTATGCCTTTCTGTCCTCCGAGATGTTTACTGCAGAGGTGGACAGGGCAGTAGCTTTATTAATGCCAGTTTCACTGTCAAGGATATTTGCCATTTGCAGTGAGATTTACAGAGAGAATCAAGTTCATGGTTTTACGATATCTTGTTAGCAATATTTTAGTTTCATTGGCTCCTTGTAATGACCTGCAAAAGCTCCATTATTAATGAGCCAAATTGCATTTTAACATACAGCTTCTAGCAATATCAACCATGTGATCAATGTAATTTGAAGAATTCATGGAGAGGGCATGTGAGGAAATATAGGATTAGGTGCTTTGATTTGCTAAAGATCATATCTGGATTGGATCTGTTTTGCAATCATGATTATTGGTAAGCACTTTCTATATCATTGCTACATGTAAGATACCCTGGGTTTTCTGAATACTTTGTATTACTGCTTTTTCTGACATGTATGGGTTCAATACTGCCTGAACCCAGCTAATGTGGTGATTTGCTGGTCATTGCTCTATCGTATTTTAAAGGTTATTGGAGAGTGTGTGCTCTTAAGAAAAACAAATAATTTTCATTGAACTAATTTGATAATATGATGTCTAATACATTACACATTTAACAAGCTCCCTGTTTAATGACTGTTCAGACTTATGAGACACACAATTAAAACTTAAAACCCACTGCTCAGACTTATGTGTGATCAGTTTTTTCTTATTGTACAGTACTGTACATCTTGTTGGTGGAGGCTCAATGTGTATTTTCTATAGTATACCTTCTTTAATGAAGCACTGTGATTTTTGTTGATTGTGCTATATAGTACAGTACTGTAGCTTTATGTTCTGTTATACATTACAGTCCTGCATGTAAGAGTTATGGAAATAAAAGCAAAGCCACCAAGTTGGAGTTTCCTTTGAGCATTTCTCTGTTCTGAATATTATAAGGTATATACTCTATACAATTCCTGATGTAGTGACCAGTTTATTTAAGGAACTACTCAGAGGACCAAAATGACCAGTGTCTATATAGCTAAAAGCCCAGATGAAATGAAAACAAGCAAGGTCAACTTGTAAACAACAACAAAAATACCAGGAAAACAAAAACAAGAGTCACCAACAGAAAGAATGCAATGACAGTAATCAATCAACATCTCAGTAATATTTCTCAATATTAATGGCCTCAGGTCTCCAATTAAAAGACACAGATTAGCAGTTGCAACAAAAGCAGAATCCAGCAGTATGTTGCATTTAAGAAAAACTCATTCGATAGGGGCTTGAGATTTAGCTCAGTGGTTCTGCCACTTGCCTCACAAGCACGAGGTCCTGAGTTCGATCCCCGGTACCAAAAAAGAAAAATTCCAAAAAACTCATTCAATGCAAAACAGTATGTATAGACTAAAAAGAATGCAAAATAATATTTCATGTATTACTTGCCCTAAAACAAGCAGGGGTAGCAATTTTAATTTCAAACAATGTGAACTTCAAGCTAAAGCTGATTAAAAGAGATAAAGGTCATTACATACTAGTTAAGTGAACAATCCAACAAGAACAATGTTTATAAATATTTATTGAATACTAGAGCACTTGTCTTCATAAAACATAATGCTGAACATAAAAGATCAAATAAATACACAATCATAAAGAAATTTCAGAGATGAACCACACCCTTGGACATATGGACTTAATAGATATTGACAAAGCCACTAAAGCAGAGCAGACATTGTATTCTGCAGCACATGGTACTTCTTCCAAATTAGATCACACACTAATCCACAAAGCCTGCTCAAATAAATAAAAGAATCAAAATCAGCCCATGTGTAGGAAAATAGAAATCAATGACAGAAGAAATCACAGAAAAAAGTAGAACTTGGAAAATTAATCACACACTCCTAAACAACCAATGGGTCATACAAGAAATCAAGGTACAATATAAACATTTCTAGAAGTTAATGGCAATGCTTGTATAAATCACTGTAAACTTTGGGCCTCTATGATATAGTCCTGAGAGAGAAGTTCCCTGCAATCCATGCTCACATTAGGAAAACAGACCAAGTTCAAATACATAACTTTATGAGAAATATTAAGATACTTGAGAAACAACAATCCAGACCAATAGCAAAATTAGGGAGGGAAATTATGATTAAAGCAGAAATCAATGAAATTAGGACTAAAAATATACAAAATATCACAACTTAAAGAACTAGTTCTTAGAATAAACAAAATAAATAAGGCCTTAGCCAGACCTTTTTTTTTTTCTTTGGTACAGGGGATCGAGCTCAGAAACTTGCACTTGTGTGGCAGGCACTGGAACCACTGAGCTAAATTCCTGGCCCTCTTAGCCAGACTTACCAAGAGAAAAGACTCACATCAATCCAAATAGAAGTGGAAAAAGAGAAATCACAACAGATTCTATTGAAATCAAGAAGAAACTACTCTGAAAAATATTTCAATATACTGACAAATTTTAAAGAAATGGACAGATTCCTCAATTCATACAAATTACCAAAGCTAACCAAATAAG